ATCCAATTTTATTTTCAAGTACTTCCAAAAGAACCCTACCACGGTGTGGACAATTGGGAAGTGATAACCGTCCTCATACCTCTAACAGCACTCAAGACCGCTGTATTCATAAGTTGTCGACGCGTTCGACTACTTCACTCCCTATCATCAGTTCAGGTGTTGATGCAGGTCAGTCCTGAGTCTGACGAATAGTGAATATGTGGTCGATACAACAACGATCAGGTCTGAAACCAGCCTGATTTTCTCGTGTTTGCAGTTCACAAGTCATTGCTAAGCGCCCGATAATTATTGAGGCTAGTATTTTAAATGCTATATTAGTTAAACTAGTCTCTCTATGGTTATCACAGGATGATTTTGATCCTTTCTTATATATTGGGACGATTAGTGATTGCGACCAGTCACATGAGACTACAACAAATTACAAGATTTTAGCTAAAATATTAGTCAACCTAATCGCTGAAACTGGACCACCGTCCTTAAAGACATCTGGAGCTGATCAATCTCGAGCAGCTGATCTTCCTCGCCTCAGATTAGTTATTGCTTTTTTCAACTCCAACTATAGTCGAAAGACCTACTTCAATGTTCCATTCAGGCTGTTTGGGAATGGTGGATAGTTGTAGAGTAGCTGAAGGTCAGCTGAACTGTTCCTTGAAGTGGTTCGCCCATCGTTCTAAACGTCTGAGATGAGAGCAGATACGAGTGTAATCTTTTTCTGAGATCGTCTCACAAATGACTTCTTAATTAAAGTTTCTTTTATTAATCTTAAAAGCTGTCTAGTGTTACCTACAGCCGATGCCTTTTCCATTTCTTCTGCTTTCGCTGCCAGGTTACTTTATTTATTTATTGATTTGAACACAAATATTGGTACAAGAGGGCACCAAATATATATGCGCCACATAAAACAATGAGAATTTGAAGAGAAGAAAAAAAGAAGGTAAGGAGCGTAAAAAAACAATAACGAACAGATTAGTGTAAGGTAGTGTAATAATAATATTAATAATAATAATGAGGGAAACGGAAACGTATAATCAGAAGAAATCTTTCAGTTAAGGAAGAAGCAACCGCTTTTTACAAAAAAAGTAAAAGAAGGTTACAGCAGGATCGCCACTGGCTTCTATTCTGAGCCATGTCTGATAACGTTTCTAGCCACTGTGTTACACCATCATTCGGATCCCAACCAGGGAGTCGTGAAGGACCAACAGAATCCAGCTCTTTGTAGCTTTCTTTCATACCACGACACCATGTCATATACTGACCACCTCTCCGCTTTTTCCAACCAGTCCCAGAGTTGACAAATAATGCACGACGTGGAATTCTCTGGGACGACGTTCGTAGAACATGTCCAAGCCACCGAAGTCGGTGTTTCAAAATGGTGACACCAATTGGATTGTCGTCTCTCTGCCCGAACACACGATGCCGAACCTCTGCATTACTAACATGGTGTTGCCACTGGATGTCAGCAATCGTTCGGAGACAGCGATGATCGAACACAGAGAGTCGTCTAACATCCTCAACTCGGAGAGGCCAGGTTTCACAAGCGTAGAGCAAAACTGCTCCCACCGACGCGTTGTAGATCCGACCTTTTACAGCCAGACTAACATCACGAAGGCGCCAAAGATGGCCCAGATTGGCATAAGCCGCTCTGGCTTTCACTATGCGTGCATTTATCTCATCACTCACGCCACCACCAGCACTTATGCAGCTACCTAGATGCACGAACTTTTCGACTACTTCTATCTGCTCACCAACCAGGGTGAGTACAGGATTAGAATCCTGCCAGTCTTGTAGAAGTACTTTGCACTTCGAGGGTGCAAAGCACATACCATACCTACGGACATTGATTGCCAACTGATTAAGTGCGGATTGCATGTCTTGGGCATTATCGCACAGTAAGACAATATCATCCGCATACTCAAGGTCGAGAAGTCTTTCTCCAGACAACAGATCCACACCACCATTACTTACATCCGTCAGAGCTGTTTCCAGAATGTCATCGATGGCAAAGTTGAAGAGGAATGGTGAGATTGGGCAACCCTGCCTAACTCCACTGCTTGAATGGAATAGTGGAGAAAGGTGGTCGTATGCCCTCACTCTGCCTGAGGTGTTTGTGTATAGAGCCTTTAAGATGTTAATAAACTTCTCAGGCACACCCTTCTTCAATAGACAATCCCAGAGAACAGTTCTGTCCAACGAATCGAAGACAGCCCTGATATCAAGAAACACTACGATTGTTGGCCTTTGATCAGTATGGCGGTGTTCTAACATTTGGCGGAGGGTGAAGATATGATCATACATCCTCGACCGGAACAAAAACCAGCCTGCTCCTCGCGAGTCAATCTTTCTCGGATTTTGAACAACCTACGAAGTATAACGGAAGCCAATAGCTTGGACGCAATCGGAAGTAGACTTATCCCCCGATAGTTGTTACAGGAACGACGTGAACCCCTTTTAAAGATAGGGACAACTATCGACTCATTCCATGACGTTGGTACACTCTCTAGTTCCCAGACCTTCGTAAACAACGTCGTCAGTCCCTTAGTCAGAAAGTCACCACCATCTTTAAAAAGAGCCAGAGGTAAGTCGTCTGGGCCCGGTGATTCGTAACGTTTCAAGAGTTGGAGTTCCTTGCGGACTTCTGCCTCGTTTGGTGGATCAGCCGTCACCGGCCATGGAGGGCAGGACAGTCTGACCGATGTTGCCGGAGCAGCAGGCCAGTTGAACTGCCCTTCAAAGAATTCTGCCCATCGTCCAAGACGTCGATGGATGTTAGTGATTGGCGTTCCGTCAGCCTCGCAGATTGTTTCGCTCACACCAGACTTCTTGCTGCCAGTGGCTCGGATGAGTTGGAAGAGCTTCCGGTAATTACCAGATGCAGCTGCTGCTTCCAGCTCATTAGCACGCTCCGATCACCAGGCTTCTCGGTCCTTACGCAAACTTTGCCCGATTTCATTACGAAACATCCTTCGTTTGTGGTCAAACTCACGGTCACCCGGGGTAGACCGACGGGCTTCAATCAGTTGTAAGAAACCAGAAGAAACCCAGTGCTTGTAAGCGGGACGTTTCGCGAACCCACAACTGACTTGACCCGCCATTTTCATGGCGTCTTGCAATAGCAACCAATGCTCATCTATACTTTTCGGTGGAATGGTAGCTAGCCTAGAAGCTAGCTCGGTTCGATACTTACTAGCAACAGAAGTTACAACTAACTCGCTGACATCAATCCTTTGGTGCCGGTCACTTTGTTGTCCACTGAAAAGTAAGGTAAGATTGGCGCAGACCAGAGCATGATCAGATTCCGGATAGGTACTCCAAAAGAAGCGGCAGTCTTGTACACAACCACGCCAGCGGTAGCTGATCGCGATGTGATCAATCTGAGTCCAGGCTTGAGATGCAGAAGGAGGACGCCAGTTGGCACATTGGCGATGACTGCTGAAAGTTAGTGCTAGCCAGAAACAGGTTGTGGTCTGTGCACAGATGCAGTAGACGTTCCCCGTTATCTGTCCTGCGACCAACAAGTCCCCATCGGCCACCTAAACGACTCTCTTCTGTGCCTAGACGCCCGACCTGAGCATTCAAGTCTCCGGCTAGTGCTACAATATCTGTCGAACGCTTTTTCTGGAGAAGAAAAGTTAACTGGTGGTACAATTCATCCTTGATTGCATCCGGGCTGCAATCTGTCGGGGCATAGGCAGAGACGACGAAAAGACATCGTTTCTCACGCCGATTTCTTCTCACTTTGGTGGAACTTTCTTATCTAACAGCACATAACCGACTGTTAATGGAGATCCAATCGATTAGTGCTGCCTCAGCTCTAGCGCTTAGTGCGACACCAACGCCAGCAAAACCAGACGAAGATGCCACAGGGTCCCCGGATAAACGCACGTAAAACAAGCTTTTTGAAGCGACAGATGGAGAGCAAATTTGCAGTACTTCACCAGATTCTTGAATACGGGTCTCGGATAGAGAACAAACGTCGATATTAAGACTTTCCAAAGACATAGCCAGCCCTATATGTTGTCCGACCTGCATAAGTGTGCAGATGTTGAAAGCAGCCAGTTTGAATGGTGCACGTAGTTTCAGAATTCGTATTCGGTTGTAGCATACAATTTTCAACCAGGCAGTGACTTGAGAACGTTTAGATAGAACCGAATTTCCACGACAGGCGAGCTGCTGTGAGTAGGACTTCCTTGGCAGAGGCTGTATACGTGCGGCCGTAAGAGAGCATTTCGGTACGTAGATTTTCGGTTAAACTAGGTCTGATTTTATTGTGTTCGGAGTATGATGAGAAAAGTTCACGAGAGTCTATCAGTGCAATATATGTCGCAAAAATTAACTGGTTTTTCGTGACATTTCTGGAAGTAGCGATCAATTATAAAAAAGCTTTAACGTATTTTAAATTCTAGAACCCATTACCATAAACTGTCTTGTCCGGCTTATTACGGAAAACTACTAACCATAAACACCGACTTTCCTTAATCTAATGAAAGCTGATAGAAAGATCTCATCAACTCTGCAGCATCATTAGATCTATGGAGCCGCTTGCAAAAGTTATTTAGCCCTATTAACTGACCATACATATCAAAAATAGAGTGAGAAATTAATTTCAATGCACTGGATACTGAGAAATGGATTCGGATTTGATATATCTTTTCTAACTCAAGCACGTTGGAATAAATCAGAAGTGTATTTCAAATCCAAAAAAGGACAGAATGCTCAGGAGACTTTGAGGAGCATTCAATCCTTAAAACGTACTACCGAAATATGTCCACACCTGTAGTTGTATCATTTAGGAACAGCTTAGACGTTAGTGGAAGCTTACCAAAAAAGCACCAACAGACCACTAACTTTATGTACTGACAGGACATATTTTAATCGTAATCAGTGCGAACTGGAGATGAGTACTCCAATAGACTACAATTATCTATGGTTATAAAACAAAGAAAATGGGGAACGAAACGAAATTTAAGGTGACCATGAAAATATAATCCGATAAGACTCACAAGACACGCAACCTACAAATAAACCACGAACTGAAGGAGCAACCTCAGATGTTCAATGGTTCAAATGGTGCAGATGGTTGTAGACGGAATAGAAGAAGCTTTCGCTTAACAGGCTTCCGTGTCTAGTAGCAGGGGATCACCGATACCTACAGGCAAGAACCTAGTTATGTTGACAATAAAAGAGAAAAAAAGAAATTGGTAAATCATAGTAAGATACTATCCTTAGTCCTTAAGAATAGATCAAGTCGCCTCTTAAAAAACTCCTGGGAAGTTGCTTGGACTAACTCAGCTGGCAGCGAATTCCAGCATCTGACAATTCTTAAGAAGCAGAAGTTGTGCTTGCAGTCCGTTCTACCATGTTGTATCTCTGATTTCCGGGTATTACCCCTTAGGTTAGTATTGGGATTAAGCTTAAGTAGGTGTTTAAGAGGATGTCCAGAAGTGTTAAGAATACTGTAAGCCATTAGAAGGTAACTTCTAAGACGCCTATACTCTAGTGGGTAAAGGTCGAGTGATTGGAGGCGCTCTTCATAAAGTTTAAATTTAAGTCCCCGAACTGATTTCGTGGCTCGCCGTTGGATACGCTCCAGAGTGTCCTTATCCTTTTGGAGTGTAGGAGGGACTACTATGTTTCCGTACTCTAAATGAGAACGAATGAAACTATTAAAGATTATGTGGAAAGTTCTCCCGTCAAACTGACCAAAAATGCGCTTCAATGTTACCAGTGCAAGGTTTGCTCGAAAGGCATTTCTGTCACAGTTAGCGTAAGACTTTAAGTCGTAGGGCACCAGGACTACTAAATCTTTTTCGACTCGGGATACTACTAGAGAGGAGTTTCCTAATTTGTAACTGTACTCTGCGACATGTTGCAGATGGACTACTTTACACTTTGAAGTGTTAAAGGTAAGTCCGTTGTTGTCTGCCCAACTTTGAAGTTGCTAATCTTTAGTTGTAAGGAAAGGGAAGACAATCGACGTATATTAATCCTTGAAATTAGTTTTACCATAAGGATCTAATCTTTTTTATGATGTTTCAAATTGAGGTCATGATACTAAATATTCTGGTAAGGTATTCCATTAGTCATCAATATAGGGTTGTGGAAATTATTAGGTTTTCGATTGAAATCTAGAACTGATTGATGTTAGACCACAATTGAAAACCTGTGGGATACTTCATCAGTGCGAATCTACGACCACGCTTGCGGGATTCGGACCCAGTCAAAAACTTAGTAATCTCCAAAACCCTAATTACAATGTATTAACTAGTGTCTAGGTTCGTCAAGTAAATCTCGGAATTCCGGTGAGTATTCGCGACCAGTGAAACTAGTCCAAGTTGGGTAGAGACGGGTACCTACATCAGTACAATGGAAGATTGTCGCAAAATTTCGTGGATTGGTTAAGGTAACATATTGACACCGTTGGATGCCGACTCATTGGTCCAGAGGCTAAGCGTTCTCGTACAAACTGAATGCTCTGAGTAGGAATCTGCGAGCGGGCTCATGGATGCGCAGTGCTGAAGAGTCCCACAAGAGAACGAAATGGCCGACCAGTGCTTCCAGGTTTACAATGATAGAGTCAAAGACGTCATAGGTCTAATCGTATTGCAACCCTTCCAGCGGTTTATGAACTTCAATGAATAACCATTATTCATTAACGTATCAGTCAAGAGCTTCGTCTCTACTTCGATAGTATCGCTAGTACAAATACGATAGATTCTACTGAATAAGCCCTTTATTAATCCACGTTTGTAATGAATTGAGCAGTGACTGGAAATTAAGATATTGGCTTTCTATATATAGAAGGTTGGATGGAACCATCATCTCTCCTATTAATCAGTATGTCTAGAAAAGGAAGTTGGTTGTTCTTCTCTTCTTCGCATGTAAGAGAGAGGTGCTCTAGACTTGTGTTAAGTTATTTTAACACGCAGTCGAAATCTTCACCTTTATCACCTATGATTATGATGTCATTAACGTACCGTCCAAGTCATTGCGTAGTACGATCATATGAAAGAAAGTAGTCAAGTTCATTGACCACTTTACTTACATGTGAGATTCATTAACTATGGTGGACCGACGAGGTTCCTATGCGAGCGAATAAACTTCCGTCTGTTACTAATGTATACCAACTCTAGCTTATCAAAGACTAGTAGCTAAACAGTCTTCTATACATTACTTAGTGACTCTAAAATAGTCTTTGTAAGCAGAATTAAATGTATAAGTTGCAAGTGTTTTCAAAGTACTGCTTGTGTATGGTAAAGGAGCTGAATTCTCAGTTTTGGCTTTGGATGAGACTTACCGGCTAAAAATGACAAATCAGTCAACGATGTTTCAAACATCTGTGAAGTGGATGGGACATGAGTTACGTATTATATTTGGAGTTTCGATGGAACCTGTTATTTGACAGCTGTACTTTAATTCAAGAGAAGCATTTGAAAACTAGGAGTCGCATTTAAATTTGATACTTTCCTAGAAGAGATCTCAAAGGAGATAAAATTTAAGTCAATTTCCTTGCACTCATCTCTAAAGGTCCATATAATCTTTGAAAAAACCTGACTTTCCAAAAGAAACCTATTTCATTAATGCGTGAACATCTTGAATAACCATTACTCAATCGTGTAAAAAGCAGCAACAGTGAGTGGAGAGTGAAAATGAGTAAATCTCCACGAAACGACCTAGGTTTGTGATTTCATTCTTGAACTCCAAAAATCACCAGCAAATATTGCTTTAGAGATCGGCTTTATATTCAATTCTGTGATCGTTTAGTCGCTGAAATTAATATACCGAATCTTTGATGAGAGCTAAGACTTTTCAAAATGCTCATTCTAGGAGGTTAGACCTGTCCGTATTGATTATAATTCTGTGAATGAACTCAGTGTGGAATCTCCGAGTTTTCAATATATTGCTCAGCTGCCATAACTAACTGTATTCCCAAGGTTGTATAAATTCCCATTTGATTAATACTAATTCTGGTTCTCGTAAAAATAATAGTATTAATTCAACGAATTGAAAAGCAGTACGTAAATGTGGCTACGGGCTTGACAAATTGTTATAATGTAGACTCGCTGAAATCATACTCATCTGGTAATGCCAAACTCTTCGAATTTGGCAAGATGGATCTATTTATCGCATCAGTACTCACTTCACTACTTGTTATAATAAACCTCCTTATTTATATTTAACTATTAATCTTGATATTAATGGAGAATAAATACATATTTTTTTATTTACGACCAAGTAATTCATTTCACATTCAAAAATAATGATATGCGTTTATTTTATCTTAGACATTGGCAGTATCGAATCCACTATTTCATTGAAATGATTTAATAAATTCAAATCTTTTGATAGAACATAATTAGGTTTTTATGTCAAGTATTACGGGACGTAAACTTCCTATCTGTGGGGGTTGTATTTCTCAGATCAACATGATAATTATTCAACTATGACCTGTAAAATTTCAGTAAGTGATTATGGTCTATATATGTTGATCACTCTCTGGTCGTTATTGGTCGCCTATCTGAGATTAGTTTCTGCTGAGATCGCTGAAATCCAACTATCTCTGCAACAACCTATAGTACGAATCTGTACTTGGCTTACATATTTTAAGAATACTTAAAGTGCAACTTTATTGACTGAAAACATTTCAGATAAGTTACCTAGAAACTTGATTAGTGGGAGTGCAAAGATTTGTTCGCTTCGAGACATCTCTATTTTTATGTTTAAATAAAAAAGTTCGTCTAATCCCTGAAAACTTCAACCAGTTCTATTCGTGCCAAAAAACTCAACGAACTGAAAAGGCGAATGGATGAACTTTTCCAGCTCATAAATATGTGTTATACCTTCTCGTACTGATGAAACCGGCAAAATTGCTTGATGGAAGATATGTTTGTTCGAACGTGGAGTACTTACAGTTTGCTATCAAAGAAATAATTTTCGACCATCCTTGAGACGTTTACTAAAGAATATTGCCAAATTCCTCATTCGCACAGTGAATATGGATTGTCCAAATGTACATAACAACCACACCAATCAAATGAGTTTCGAGGATCCAGCTAATTTCGTTCCAATCCTATTTGCTTATAATAAAAATAATCTATCCTAGATAACGCAGTAGCCTCACCCAATACGAAGTATGGTATATATTCAGTAAATATTCGAACCCTTTGTTAAGTGAAGTACAATAGCTTAGAATTCTACTTAAGCTATTGTAAATGTGATTTTTTTAATATATAAAATGACAAATGATTTGTTCATAATTGTGCGCTTTATTGTAACTCTAGTGTACTGCCTTCACGTGCGTTCACAATCTTCTATCTACGACCACTGGTCTGTTCGTAGCTACTAGAGTACGTTTTAGACATATCCGGAAATTTCTGTATCATAAAATATATTCAGTACTATCAGTTATTCTATGGATGTATAATCTCCTGTTCCCACTAAGGGTACATTCGGGAGTAATGCTGACACATCGAATGATACCATAAATTTCCCATCAACTTTCTAATTCTCCACTTTACTGACATTGTGACAATTATCTTTCGCATTGTTTTGCAACATCTTTAGTGAAGTGGTTCCAGGAATCCTACAAAACGTTTGTCAGTCGCATGGTAAGGTACGCTTAGCAGTGATTCCACACGAATTTATGATTTCAATTAATAATAAAAGTTTGATTATATGGGCAAGAGAGCGAATCCCCTCTTAAACTATTTTTTAAAAAGTCAGTATGAAATAGTGTCTCATAACCCCAAGTATATCCGTTGAACTAGTTCATAGTAAGACTGGAAATGCCACTGAATTTTTCAGCTACATTAAAATCGATTTAAGGTAAAATTTCGAAATGCTTATAAGTGGTTTAACTATATTCATAGATGTACACTTTCGAACATGTTAGCAAGTTATAGTGTTTTGGTAACCTGTTTACTTGATGATTACAAAGTATTCAAGTACTGGTACTCCTATATAAATTAAACACCATTGATGTGCTTTCACTCAGTGGTCAGTTCGTAAATACATTACAGGTAACACGGAATTCGTCACGCTGGACTGTAACTCACTACCGCTTCACATCTATTACTATGACGAAATATAACAAAGTGAAGTACATATTTATTTTCAGATA